TTTCCATTTCTGTATGCATCAGACACCTGTGGAGCCCTGTAGCTCAGTGGTTAGAGCACTCGCTTTGCAAGTGAGAGACCTGAGTTCAATTCCAGGCAGAGCGAAACCTTGGGCAAGTTTCCTTACTCCACACAGAGCCTAATAATAATCCCTCCAAAACAAAACAATAATAAATTGGTCATTTTCAATCTACGACTGTTTGTGGGACATTGCTGTGTGCAATTGGCTGCCGCGTTCGCCCACAAATATAGTCAATTCACTTTACAATGTGTTCTGTGAAGCGCTTTGGGACGTCCTCCCGACGTGAAAAGCGCTATATCAAATGCAAGGTTTATTATTATTATTACCTAGCTGACCAAAAAATCAAAAACCCTTGCTGGGGATACAACAACAAAATTACATTTGTATAGCGCCTTTCATGTTGGGAGGACATCCCAAGGTGCTGGACAGTCAGAGTTTTGTACCTGAGCTGGGGTCGGGATCGGAAGAGGTGGTGGCGGGGGGAAGCAGGGTGATCGAAAGCATGGTCGAAGAGGAGGGTCTTGAGATGAAAAANGTAGTGATAGCAGTTTGTTGATGTATATTGTATATTGAACACTGCCATCAAGTCCTGGATGAGAGCAAACTTTCTTCAGTTGAACGTCAACAAGACCTGATTGGCTTCTGTCAGCGCCTCCACAGCTGAGGCACTGACAGTATCACCTTCCATGGTTGCACACTCTACCTTACTAAGCCAGTCTGGAACCATGGCACCTTGTTTGACTTAACTGTGCTTTCTACCCCACATCCGTGCCGTGACCTGCTCTGCCTTTCCCACCTCTGCAAGATCGCCCGGGTCTGCCACTCTCACACCACAGGCCGCCGAGACCCTCACACCTAATATTCATTCTTATCCCCTCATACGCATTCTTAACATCCAGGCTCAACTGCACAAACTCCCTGCTTGTCGGCCTCCACAACTCCCCCCTCCATAGGCTGCAGATCATCCAGAACTCTGCAGCCCGTGTCCTCTCCTGCACCAGGCTCCAAGACCCTACTACCCCTATCCTCGCCCAACTCTATTGGCTTCCTATCACACAGAGGATACAGTTCAAGATCCTGGTTCTCACCTTCAAAGCCCTCCATGGTCTTGCTCGCCCCTACTCCTGAGCCCCTACCAACCTGCTCTCTCCCTCCGCTCAGCGGGCTTTGGCCTGCTTCGCGTCCCCCACCATTGGCGGGCGGACCTTCAGCCACTTTGCCCCCACCCTCTGGAACTCCATCCCACAGTCTCTCCACCTCGCTCCCTCGCTTGTCTCCTTCAAGACCCATCTCAAGATCCTCCTCTTCGACCGTGCTTTCGATCATCCTCCTTACTCCCCCTGCCCTCCACCCTCCCCAATCCCAACCTTCAGCTCAGGTCTGAAGCGCTGACTGTCCAGAGCCTTGGGATGTCCTCCCGACATGAAAGGCGCTGTACAAATGTAATTTTGTTGTTGTATCCCTTTATTGCCTTTTATTAGTTCTCCCAGTCCTCTGCATTCCCACTTTTTCTTGCATTTAAGTAAGCCTTTTCTTTTAGCTTGATACAGTCTCTAACCTCTTTTGTTAACCATGGTTGCTTAACTGCACAATTTTGCATTTTAGGGGTATGTACTTGTTCTGTATTGTATGAAATACTTTTTTTTAAATAACTTCCCATGAATATTTAGCTCCCAGTCCTGCCCAGCTTGTAACCAGGTCTCTGTAATGGCTACTACATCATACCCTTTAAGCTGAATTTGTGCTTCTAAATCACTTGTTTTATTTCTTACTTATGTGCATTTGTGTACATAACTCTTATTTTGGTAACTGTCCTCAACTTGCCCGTATACCCTGGTGAATGTTCTTCTCACACTTTTTGACCGGTTACACCTTTTGTAATAACTTCCTATTACCTTTTTTCTTCCTATAGTATTTATGTTATCTTTAATCACTATTTGTATTTTGACTGTTGCTCTCATCTCATTGTTTTATGTTGCGGTTATTGTTTCCACCTGATCTCCCCTAACCCCCTCTTACTGGTTTAAAGCTTTTTCTACAGCCATATTTATCCTTTTCGCTAGAACCTTGGTCCCAGACCCGTCCAGGTGCAGCTCATCCCAGCAGTCCAGCTCATTGCTGTCCCAGTACTGCTACCAGTGAACTATAAAATGGAACCCCTCCTTCTCACACCACTCTTTCAGCCACACATTCACTTCCCAGATCCGTTTATCCCTATGCCAATTTGTACATGGCTCGGGTAGCAATCTGGATATTACCACCTTTGAAGTCCTATTCGAGGTTAATGCAGTATTAATGCAGTATCTGCCTCAGCCTTACTGTAAGAACTCCAAAGGTATTTATACCCACTGTGATAAATAATACCACATCAAGCACCAAACACTAGTCTTCAGAATTTGTTGGACTGTCATGAGGAAGAATTCTAATTGTCCAGAACCACTCACTAAAATCTTACTCGCTGGCAGATTGGTGATTTGACATGTACTGCATAAAGGAATTTGCGTGAAGATTCAAATGAATGCCTTTGTCAGCAAGCGTGGGATTATCTTATGTCTTGGACATTAATATTGAATCTCCATAGCTTAATCTGGACAACAAAATTAGGAGCAGTGTCTAGGATCTGGTAGCTGAGTTGAAGTTACCATGATGCAATACTAGAGATAAAGCAGGTTCAATCACTAACTCATCTTTCTCAATAGTGACATCCAGTGGAAGCAGTTTAGTAGGACAATACAGTATAATCTCTTGTCTCCAGAAAGACCAGGATCAAATAAGTATTTTTGCTATGTAATTTTTTTCTAACTTTTTAATATAATAATTATCCTTGCATTTAATATAAGCACCTTATCATATCCTATATTACTAAGTATTATAGTAATAAATAGATGGAATTGTTGCCTGCCTAGAAATACTTGGATGTTTTCCTTGTGTTGCAATACTTAGAAGATACTGATTCTGATGGCCTTCCATTGTCAGATGTGGCTTGACTATAGTATGTAATTTTTCTCATTGCTTTTTCCTTGGCCATTTACTTACTCCAGGATTACCGTAGAGGGAAAGGTGAGCCCAAATGTCTCATCTTCACCTTCCTTATGTCTGATTCAAAATATGGAATACTCAGTTGCTTTATAAGTTACTTAGTCCATAATTAAAACCAACTGCTCACTTGATTTGCCATATACCTTTCTCATGTATACAGACTTCATGAAAATTGTTTATTTGGTATTATCTTTCCACAAATATGAACATCATAGTACTAAAAATTGGATTTGCACAGACAGAATTGAGCACAATCAGGCAGGCCATCTGAAGGCAGCGAATTAATAAGATCAAGTCAATTATTGTTGAAAATAATGGCAGTGATATTTATTTTAGCGATACAGGTGATCCAATAGCTCGGAGTTCAACAGGTGAAGAATAAAAAAGGCCAACTTCCAAATCATTAGGTTTTTACTGACATCACTTCATACAGCACTGATATTGCTTTGATCACAAAGTAATGTCAGTGGCACTTCAATAAATTACCATCCCATTTCCAACCTGCCTTTCTCTTGCCGAAGCTGTGGAACGCATTGTTACTAACCAGCTTTACTCTCATCTCTCCACCCACTCTCCTCGATCCTCAACTGTCTGATTTCTGCGCTGCCCACAGCACAGAGAGGGTGCTTGTCAAGGTCACAAATGACGTCCTCTTTTTCTCTCTCTCTATGACCAGGGCTCCTTCTGCCTCCTCGTCCTCCTGGATCTCTCTGTCGCGTTTGACACAGTCAACCACGTCAGCCTCATCCACCGCTTCTCCTCCCTTGAGTTCGAGTCCTACCTAACAAATCGCCTTTCCTTTGTCCGCCTGGTCACCTGTAGCGTACCCCAATGCTACATACTTGGCCCCCTTTTCTTCCTCATCTATATGATGCATCTTGGTGCTATCATCCGCAGACACAGGGTAAACTTCCACACATATGTGGATGGCACACAAGTCTACTTCTCCAGGTCCGTCGATGTTCTCTTGGTTTGTCTGGCGGACATCAGGACCTGGATAAGCGAAAACATCTTACAACTAAATGTTGACAAGATAGAAGCCATACTCCTTGGCTCCCTTCAGTGTCTTCTGTCCTGCGGATCTGACCTCCTCACCCTCCCCAGCCTATCCCTCAGATTCAGCGAACCTAGGCATCCGGTTCGACCCACAGCTGTCCTTCCTTCCCCACCTTCAGTCCCTGACCAGCACCGCCTTCCTCCACCTCAGCCACATTGCTTCCTCCGACAGTACCTGACCCCTGACACAATCAAAACATTCGTCCATGTGTTCGTCACCTCCCGACTTGATTTTTCAAAGGCTCTCTTTGCCGGTCTCCTCAGCTCCACCAGGCACAAGATCCAGCTGATCCCAAAACTCCGCCGCCCGCATACTCACCTGCACTGAACTCTGTACCCCCATCACACCAGTACAATATACAAGAGGTGATGTCAGAAGTAACCTAACCACCTGGAACTCAGCTTTTTCAACGCTTTATAAGTTGGCTTGTCAGCACCAGAATTTAGGTTTACTGACCTGTGTGTGTGTGTGTCCAAAGTAGACTGTTGGGTTGTTATTTTATCTTCAATTGCCAATCCCATATATTGCATGAACAATATTTTCCTTTTTGCATCTACAGAGGAAACAACATTATGCTTACTTAAAATGGAAAAGAAACTTCTTTTTCCCTGGATTATGTAACATTCAACTCCATTTGAAAATAGGCTTCACTGCAATTTTTAAAAATAATTTGATCTATTATAAAAACAATTCAGTTTCATTTTTTGCAATGCTACTGCAGTAATTATTTCCAATGATTTGTATTGTGTGAAATAAGTCTCTGCCTCAATGAGTTATGAAAACCTTTTAGTAACAACACTGAGCAATATCTTTGAAGTACTACTTTTCACAAGTATTGAAGAAGCTTTTTATTTAAGTTTTTGACCCTTTTGTTTTCTTTTAGTTGGAAATGATTGCCACAGAGAATCCGGCAGATTTGAAAAAGCAGCTTTATGTGGAGTTTGAGGGGGAACAAGGAGTTGATGAAGGAGGAGTGTCCAAGGAGTTCTTCCAGCTTGTTGTGGAGGAGATTTTCAATCCTGATATAGGTATTCAATGTTGCTTTTGTTTCTCCATGAATAAACTTAAAACATTCCTTTTAAAAACATTTCTATCAATAGCTCACATCAGTATACTGGATGTTTCTCAGATCTGTAAGATTTGATTTATTTTCAGGAAAAGTGTCAAGTCTTAATACTAACTCATTTTTTAAATCTGTGAAAAATAGAAGCGGTCATCTGAAGCAGAGATTGCTGTTCTGTTGACCGTGGGATTCCCTAGAAGGTGGGGAGATTGATTTGAGGATAAAACGTGATGTTGATTACATCAACATCCAAGTTTTGAACAAAGTATAAAAATTGAAGGAGGGTTAATTGCCAGGGTTATACTGTACAGAACTATGGATCAGTTGGTAGAACTCCCAGCTACTCAAAAGGTTGTTGATTCAAGCTCCACGTTGGGACTTTGAATTGATACTGTAGGCTGACACACCAGTGCAATGCCTGGGCAATGCTACATTGTTGGTTGTGCCAACCTGAGATTATAAATTAAAGATCTGATGTGGAGCTTAAACCCACAACCTTCTGTTTTAGAGACGAGAGTTCTCCCAACTGAGCTAAGCTGGCACCAGATCAGTCTGGGTTGGGGCTGGGGGAACATGTAAGCAGACTCTCTTGGAGCTAAGATAACTCTGAATAACTTGCTGGGCAATGGAATTTGAAATTGAGTTAATCCTTCCTCTGCGGCAGTCTCAGTATTCTGGCTCCTGAGCCAGGAGGTCTGTAGTACTCTAGGGCACTGTTGATGACAGTCCAACCAGCCTATCATCGGTAGGACTTAGATGAGCAGACTCACAGGGGACAGAGATTCTTCCTACTCGGCTCCTTTAAACCCTGCAAGCCAAAACCCTAATGGGTAGGGTGGTCCTAGATGGACAAGCAGGGGGATACTTGCCAGGCAGTGCTTTCAATAGCAAGTTATGCAGTTTTTGCTAATTAAACTCCAGCAGTACCTAAATGTGCACTCTGAGGTCCCCATGTCTTGGCTCTTGCCAATTTGTGCCAACTGCTCTCAGGAACTGGGTAAGCAGCTTGCGCCCCTCCAAGGCGAGAGTGTTCATTCCATTCTTGATACAGGAATTTCCATGTGGAGTTTTGAACTATGTCTGGATTGGATACTCTTAAGTAAGGTGGTGGGTTTTCATACGCGTCAAGATTTCCGGCTGAGCAGAAATAAAAATCACTGCCGATTTAGAACCAAATTTCGGAAGTTTTTGTAACCTGCATTTCAATCTATAAATAACTGGATTCACAGCAGATTACCCAACCTATTTTCACTTTTGAGTCTTATAATTATTTGGTAGTGGAAATTGTTCAAACAAGATTTAAGAGGTGAAAGAATAGTGTTCGAATTACCTATTTCATTTGGTCCCGTGCTATCTTTGAAACGCACCAGGGATTAATTGTTAGCTATGATTGAAAGTGGTGTAGTTAGGTTATAATTCCAGAAGGAATTTAAATGGAGAATGAAAAAATACTTATGGAAAATAATGACGGATTGGACACACCTCCTTCCCTACCCATTTAACTTGATATACAAGCACATCATTTGGTCTATTAATCTTAAAACGTTATTTACTACTAGCGTATGAAAAAAGATCTTATTGAGTTGATGTTCAAATTGACCTACTCTTCATAAGAATTGTGGTGGGAAAAGGTTACTTGAAGTTTTTATTTCTTTCTAGGAATGTTTGCTTATGACGACCAGACAAAACAATTTTGGTTCAACCCTACCTCTTTTGAGAATGATGGGCAGTTCACATTAATTGGAATAGTCCTGGGGTTGGCGATCTACAATAACTGTATCCTTGATGTCCATTTTCCTATGGTGGTTTACAGGAAGTTAATGGGCAAGAAGGGAACTTTAGAAGATCTAAGTGACTCACATCCAGTAAGTTAATATTGTAATTACTATTTTAGAGTAAGTTCTTATAGATCTGCCTTTTTTTCTAAAATAAACTTTTCGACCACGCCTGCAGTCACTTTCTCCTTTGCTCGGCATCTGACTACATCCCTATGAAGTGCTTGGACATTATCCTGGGTGACTGATGCTTCCTAAATACAAGTTGTTAATGGTGAAATATAAGTATCATAGATACAGCAGATTATTGGTGATAAATGGTATTGAGATAACAAATTGTCAATAACTGATGGATTATGTCAGTGTTTGCAGGGAGGAAATCTGAGGTTAAACTGTATTTACTGTATTTCTCTTGTCCTTGTGTGCATAGTTCTAGTTCTAGTGTAGACCATGGAAGTCAAATATCCTTTGCAGTGAAACAGTTTAGCTGACAAAGTATTGTATTTATGGGATTCAAGCTAGACTGGGAATTCATGATTTGAGATGAAATACATACTACTGCCTTTGTTCCTCCGGATCTGGCCTCCTCCTCGTCCCCCGAGTCCTCCGCTCCACCTTTGGCGGCCGTGCCTTCAGCCACTGTGCCCCAAGGCTCTGGAATTCCCTTCCTCACTCCCTTCGCCTCGGCCCCTCTCTTCCTACTTTCAGGTCCCTGCTGAAGACCTTTCTTTTCGATCGCGCCTTTGGTCACCTTTCTCCCCCTGGCTCGGCCCAGGGATTCATTACTGTGAAGCGCTCTGAGACGCCGTTCGACGTGGAGGGCGCTATATAAATCCTTGTTGTTGTTGTTGTACTTATTCAGATATGCGACTCTGAATCTGTTTGCAACAAATTATTTGTAGGTACTTTATCGAAGTTTGAAACAACTCCTGGAGTATGAAGGAGATGTGGAACAAGACATGATGATTACTTTTCAAGTATCGTACAGTGATTTGTTTGGAGTGCCAGTTATCCATAATCTGAAGGAAAATGGTGACCAGATTCCAGTAACAAACAAAAATAAAAAGGTTAGCATTACTAAAGCCTTGGGTACCTGAAAAGAATAAACCGGTACAATTTAAAATTTCTCCTTACCTATAATATGGAGGTGTTGACTAAGACATGATATGTAATCAGTATACAATTCACCCCTAATGTATTCTTGCATATTTTTATCATAACCAAATTGGAAGGAAGTGGGCTGAGAGCAAGCCAACTGGAGTGATGTAAGGACTCAATGGACCAAAAGTTCTTCCTGATTACTCCATATAGTTATTTATGTCATTTTGGCTCAGTAGGTGTCACTCTAGTGTTTGGGTCAAAAGGTTGTGAGTTCAAACCCCAAGTTGGGACTTAGGACAAACTTCAGTACAGTAATGGACAGTACTTAATCGTTGAGGTACCATCCTTCTGATGAGACATAAAACACATGTTTGTAATGCATGAAGGTTTACTTTTGGAACAAATCTTATTTAGCAGCTCGTTTTTTTTGTAGAGTAAAACCATGTTTTGAACTTTTCATTTCTTTTTGTTTAGTTGAGGGGGAAAAAGGCATTGAAAATATTTTTTAATTAACTTACTGCTATTTCCAACTGTGGTGGGAACAAGGGGAGAATATGTGTAAGGCTCACACTGCAGTAATACAGCTGCTTGTGACATTGAAGTAGGTTTATTGGTGTCATTTTATTTTCATATCAGCAGCTTTAAGGTTATATCATTTTATTAATGGAGGAAATTTTTATTGGTCCCTGACGTTTATCTTCTGTTGCAGGAATTTGTTCAATTATATACAAACTATATTTTGAACCAATCTGTGGAAAAACAATTCAAAGCTTTCAACAGAGGCTTCCACATGGTAACAAATGAGTCTCCCTTAAAATACCTTTTCAGACCAGAGGAGATTGAGCAGCTAATATGTGGCAGTAGGGTAAGTGTTGCTGTATAATTTGTGTCATTATGTAATTAGATGAATGGTGTGTGCTGGAGAGAAATTGTATTTGAAGTTAACTGAGGAACTTTTTCTGGTAAGAGCTTTTATATGAAGGATTGGAGCATTTGAAACATAGAAAGAGGATCTTAAGTCAATTTGCTGGGAAATTGGGAGCCACATCCACCACTCCTATTCTTTCACCATTAAGAATATTTTCAGATTTGTCTTTCTTAGATACAAAGTAGACTATCTCAGCCTTCCATGTTCAACTCTACCTGTCATGGGCCTGTCCATTTTTACAACTTATCATGCCTCCTAACCTGGCATCTTGTGCAAACTTGGTTATACTCCGTAGCACAATACACATTTACATCTAAACATAGGAATTGCTAGATTATAAAAGACCAAGGTCCATCTGGTTTGCCTTCTGGTAGTCGAATGCTACAATAATAATGTAGACACAAAAGATCATTTACCTAACAGCTTCTAACAGGTTGTTAATGTATATGGTGATAATGTGAGGCTCCAGTTCAAATTCCTGGGGGTCACCACTTGCCACTTCCTGTCACTTCTGTCACAATTGTTCATCTCTGACAAAGCCATCATCGATCACTTCTCATCTCCCTTATCCCCCTGATTCCCCTCCCTGACACTATCTTCTTCCTCCCCTGGAAGAAGAAAATCTCCCAATCTATAGTGGCCTTGAATTTTCTGAACTGGCCATTTGCCTGCTTCGATCTTACCCCTTCCATCCACCTTGTACAACTCCCTCACCACCCTCGCCCCATTACATCTCGCACCGATTCCTTCCCCCACCGCCTCACAGTCGCATGTAATTCTCGGCATTCTTTGGTTAAATGTGGAAAACTACTAATGTCAAACTTCCCTAGAATTCTACGTACCATTGTAGTTACTGCTTGTTACCTGAACTGTAATTTCAATACTTTGTCAGAATCTGGATTTCCATGCCCTTGAAGAGGCAACAGAGTATGATGGAGGATTTACAAAGGATTCCAGAATAATAAGGTATTTGTTCTATTTTGTGTTTTTTTTGCTCATTCTGGTGTGACTGATGCTTAAAAAAAGATATCACTGTTAGAATCCAGTATATCAAGCTCAATTATAGCATACATAAGATTAAGGTAAACCTTCTACACTGCCTATTTAGCATTGTCGTCAAAAGCACACCCTATTCCACAGAACTCCAGTGTGTCATTTCTACTTTCCTATGTCTTTTTCTGAAAAAGTGCAGAAGTACACATCATTTGGCTGTGGTTTGGACATTCTAGAAACTGTATTAATACCTTGTCAAATTTCAGAATGTGTTATAGTTTTTGAAGCCTTATTCCATTATTCAATGGAGATTCAAAACCAGACTGTAACCCACTGCAAAACAAGACCATAGTCCATTCCACCACTTTTGAACGCTTTCCAAAATCTGCATAATTCATTTTTATTTACTCATTAATTTAGACAAACTAGCCAATCAGTGCAGTTGATGTAGTATATATGGCCTTTCAGAAGGAATTTGATAAGGTGCCATATAATAAACCAGTTAGCAAAATTAAAGCCTATGGGATAAAAGGGACAGTGGCAGCATTGATACCTTGGGAGATATCAATGGGAGGTCCTCCCGAAGTGAAAGGCGCTATGCAAATGTAATTTTGTTGTTGTTGGTGGAAACAGATTCAATAATAACTTTCAAACAGGAATTGGATAAGTGCTTAAAGAGGAAAAAATTGCAAGGATATTGGAAAGAGTGGGGGAGTGGGACTGACTGTAGCTCTTCCAAAGAGCTGGCCCAGGATTGATGGGCTACACGACCTCCTTCTGTGCTATAATATTCTATGATTTACATATCTTAAAATAATGGGGAAGGAGAGGAACTAGTTTAGTGATCTCTTATTCTTACATAGCCTAGGAACACTGTTCATGGATATCTTTCAGATATTTTGGAATGATAAAAGTTTGAACCTCTGAGACCTGCATATGCATAGAATTTGACTTTTATTTCATTTTTCCCCTGATGTGTATGTCCTACTTATTTGACCACAATGTAAATGTAAGAAGCATTTATTTTCAGTTGAGGGAAAAGAAAACTGCATGAATATGGTAAAATAGGATATACACTGTAATCTTCTGGAAGTACAGATGGTAAGAAATTTGAATTGCTGCTGCTGATTGAATAGTGTGCGTTGTGAGGTTACATGATATCCTGATACTTTGGTTGATAAAAATTAGGGAATGAGGCAAATGAGTGTATTGTCAAATTGTACAGTTACACATGTTGCCCATGTTTATAGTGCAACTCATAATGAGCAACCCATAGAGTACTACATCTGACCTCTAATGTTTTTTTGTTGGTTATGATGTGAAATATTACTGTGCACAAATTGGCTGCGAGTTTGCCTACAAAATAGTCACTACATATTGGTGTAAATCCTATGAAATACATTGAGACTTCCTATTTACTATTATTAATACCATTTGCTAGTACTAATATTAATCCTTGCATTTGATATAGGTCCGTATATACTCAAAATGTCTGTTTTACAGGCTTTTCTGTAATGGGTAGTGACTATTTGTTGGCAACTTGCTAGATTATGAATTGTGCAGAAATTTTAATAACCTGCCTGATTTCAATTTAATTTTAGTTTTTCTTTTCTCTTTCCTCAATGCTCTTATAGAGATTTCTGGGCAATAACTCACAGTCTCCCAGAAGAACAGAAGCGCCAGTTTCTGCAGTTTACTACTGGTTCTGACCGGGCACCTGTTGGTGGCCTTGGCAAAATAAAGTTGATCATCACCAAGAATGGGCTAGATTCAGATAGGTATGTCGCAGTTTAATGTAAATATTTTTCCTATCAATGTCAAAACTTCCTCTACAAATTAGATCCTTTTTTTAAAAAAAGTTGTAGATTTTTTGTGATAAGGCACTGGCCTTTGGTATTCAAGTGCAGAACAGGTCAATATCCTGGTGACCTACTACTGTTCTAGATCATAATCCTCAAGTTTCAAAACAAACTACTGTGAAGCACCAGTTTATGAATTGTTTCATTATTTCCAGATTACCAACAACACATACATGCTTCAATGTCCTCCTGCTTCCAGACTACTCCAGCAAGGACAAGCTCAAGGAAAGATTACTCAAGGCAATTACATACTCAAAAGGTTTTGGCATGCTGTAATTATCATGCTCCGACTAGCTACTCTTCACGTGAACCAAACTCAGATGAGGAGAGAAATCATTTTTTTGATAATACAATAATTTCTTAGTATGTTAAAGCAAACAAAAAAGCCTGTTGTAACATTAAACTTTTTTTCTCTGGTTTCTTTACAATGATTTCAATTTGTCCCTTTTATTGGTAATCTACCTTTAATAGAGGTATAGCTGGGTGACAGTTATGTGCCAGTGGCAATTCCAGCAATTTTGATTTTTAACTACTAAGCTCTGAAACATTTATTCTGGTATTGATTTAAATATTATCATTGGTAAATTTAGGGATGTAGGACACAAGTGCAAATTTGTCCATGTTTGTATTTTTAATAATTTCACATGTTTAAACTCTACACGGTTTAAAGATGCAAAGATTACGTAAATCTTTGCACCGGCAGTTTTTCCATGTTTGTATTTTTAATAATTTCACATGTTTAAACTACACGGTTTAAAGATTCAAAGATGATGTAAATCTTTGCATAGGAAGTTTTTCTTATTAACCTTTCTCCCTTTCCTCCAACGAGCAGTATGGAATCAGTTAGTGTGAATGCTTGGAGGAAAAACATTTGATGCAGGAAGGAATTTCTTCCAGATTTAGGAAGAGGAACGAGGTTGAGGGCACTGTACCTAAAATGCATTTACAATTATCTTGCCAGCTTTTTGTGGGTCTCATGGCTTTATCTATTCATGGCTTCCTTGGAATATGATAAAAGAATAATTTTCTTGTATGAATACAAGTAAGGAAATATAACTTCACTGTTTTTTTAAACTTGGTGGTTAAGTATTGCTTACACAAGATATCAAACACCCAGCTAGAAAGGGCCTGTACTGCATGTACTAATCTTGTTCCATAATGAATACATGATAGAACATCAAGATGCTGTGAGATGCAATCAGCTGATTGTTTGGCCCTAAATAAAATGAGAATTCATGCCTTTTATCATGATGCTCAATTGGTTAATGTATAAGTGAAATGGAGAATGGTCTATGTACAGTTAGAATGTAGACTTATTGAGTAATTTGATTTGGGATATATTTAAAATATTGATCCATGGTGTTATCTGGAAATGACATTATCTGGAAATGACATTTTGTACAAGGTATAAAATGCAAATAAAATGGAGTTGTGCAGCACTTTGCAATTTAAATTCTTATTTTTTTCTGAGATGTTGTACCATTTTCTAATGTTCATTCCTCAGGACATTCATTTGTAAATATTTAAGATTTTTTGTAATTTGTTGTACAGTTCTGATTGCACACTACTTGAAGGAAATGTATTCTGTGTGGAATTTGGAACCACCATGAGATTGCGGATCTCTTCTTGCACCGCCTGAAATACCATAAAGCTGGAGGAGAAGAAATAAATTAGAGTCTGTACTTCAGCCCACTCACCTAATCTGTAAACTTCTTCACTTCACAATATGCCACAATTCCATGCTTCGTATCACCAGAAAATTTTAACATCTTCCCTATATATCCAATATGGAGAATGGTGCCTTTAAGCTAATTCTTTTGACTTCTACCCTCAGGCTAATTCTCCATCCACATCATAAGTGTCTCCTCTGGTGGAGACACCTACTGAATGCCTCTGGAAATCCATGGATATAACATCCAGTGTTTTTCCCCTCCCCCATTTACCACCTCAGTGATTCAGTTAGTTGTGTAATTTATAATCATCCAAGTGCTCACTTATTATTGTGTCCTGAAAGATGGATTCTAGTAACCTCCCACTATTCACAGCAAATGAACTGGCAAGAAAGGCCAACTTTAATCAAATCGAATATTCACCCACAAAATATGCAGTCAATTCACTTAACAGTATATTCTGTGAAGCGCTTTAACATGCCTTAAAGATATTATAAGGCACTACATCAAATGCAAGGATTATTATTGTTTATTATGCCAAATTATAATGTCTCAAAGCCCTGCACGGATTTTTTGTAAAGAGTAATGACTGAACTTGTAGATAAATGTGGTAGCCAATTTATGCACAGCAATATTTCACAAGCAACTATGAAGTGAATTCAGACAGGAACTTGGTTTAACATTTCATCTAAAGAATGGCACTTCTGACAATGAAATGCTCTGAAGAATATGAATCTCACCATCCAGGGTGGGGGGAGACTCCTCAGAACTGAGGAAGCTTGTTCTACAGAACAAATTCCTTGAATTGCTTGATGTTGTATACTAAAGAGCCTTATCTCAGCTGAGAAACTGTCTCGACATTGCGATCTAATTTCCAGTACACATGAGCTGGAATTAGATGTTAGTTAAAAATTCTGTTTGGGAACGTTGAAAGCTGCTTCACTTGCAATATTCTCAAAATTCTGAAAGACCTCAAAGTACAAAAAACCTGCCAAGTGGTTTTGTTCACTTCATATCTTCACTTTACCAGCTTCTGGACTTTTTTTTTACAAAGAATGAAACAGCACAGAAACAGGCTACTCAGCCCAACACTTCTGTGCTGGTGTTAATACTACTCTCAAGCCCTATTGCTCGTATTTCCCTTCTCTTATACCTTTCTATTCCTTCCCCCTCATTCATACATTAAGTTTTCTCTTAAATATATTGATGCTTCTTGTATGATTTCTGGGCAACACATTTCACACTCATCATCCTCTGCTGGAGAAGTTCCTCCTAACCTCCCCATTAGATGACCAATGGGAGTGGAGTCCTGTAGCTCGGTGGTTAGGGCCCTCGCAAGCGAGAGAACTGGGTTCGATTCGCGGGAAGGGCGAAATGTTAGGCAAGTTTCCTTTGACCTAGTAGTAAGTAGGAACTCAATTGTTAGTCAATTGGTGGATCGCTTTTCCAGGGATAATACTTTTTAAAAAAATTGGTTACTTCAATCTACGATTGTTTGTGGGACACTGCTGTGCGCATTTCGCCCACAAAATATACAATCACTACACTTTACAGTATATTCTGTGAAGCGCTTTGAAATGTCTCAAATTTGTGATAAGCAGCTATATCAAATGCAAGGATTATTATTATCATTATTATCAATGAGTTGGCTTATGTTTGTCACTAGTTATTTGAAAATATCACACATTAGATCCTATCGCTCTTGTACAATTATGATGGATATCGACAACTGCAAATTTATGTTCAATAAAATACTATTTACATTTGTGTCAAAGATCACTTTAACTGTCATTTCCAGATATATACATTGTCATTTCCAGATATATACATTCCATCGTTGCTATTTGGGGGTTACCATATGGCTTGGAAAAATGTTCTGTGTTTCTTTGTGAATTAATCAAATAAAACCCCAAGAAAATATAAGAACAAATACCATTTTTAATAGAAATAACTTTCCTTACATAATATATATTATATACCTTACGAAAACAGGATTTAAACATAAGCCACTTACATGAAACTACAGATAGGTAACCTTTACAGCTACTTATTCTAGTTTAATCTTCAAAGAAAATTATTTTCATAATTCAGTTATAAAAGGTTTTCATAGTTTTTTTAATCTAAATTGTGTGGAGAGAATGTAAAACTGCTATAGAATAATCATGCTTTGTTACACTGTATGGCAAGTTCAGCCGTGCAATACATGATGCCATGCAAAATGCATTTTATGAATAAATAGCAAGCAATTATGAAAAACATTATCCTGGTCTCAAAATGATAAAATATGAAATAGTGATGCACATTAGAGCCTCAAAGCAGTTTATCAAATACAGTAACTGTACATTATATTAAGTCTGCACCTTGCCCAATATAAAAGTTAGGATAAACCTAAACCTTTTTTGAATTAGCTGTAAATTATTTCCACAGAAAAAGTACCTAAAAGTATTAGAATATACAAGTGTAAGTTTGGTAAAATAAGTTAGGTTTCCACATTCAATCTTATATGTATAATATGTTTTACCCATCTATGCAGTTAAGTTTTTCGATTTAAGTAGATCCAGATATCTGTAAATTATGAGATAATGGGCATGGTGTTACAGAATATATCGAAAAAGATTGTGTACAAAGTAAACACTGAAGAAGCCCTGAGTCACTCATTTGAGTGATTTTTTTTCATCTGTAACCTCTTAACAGTTACAAAAAGAGATCCCCTTTAGCCCTTTGCGGTCAGCAAGTGTGACCCTGTTAGTATAAACTAAGTTTCACAAATGAAATAACAGTATCTTCCAAAATGGATTGATGCAACCTAAGTCCTATAACTCAGAGAGACCTGGGTTTGATTCCTGGCAGGGCCAAACGTTGGGCAAGTTTCCTTCCTCCACACGCCTGTTTGCCGATCATTAAGTAGGAACACGGTTGTTAGTCCATTGGCGGATCGCTTTTCCAAGGGTAATAATTCCTTCAAAATTTTTTTAAAAATTGGTCACTCAATTCACAACTGTTTGTGGGACACCTCTGTGCGTAATTGGCTGCTGTGTTTTGCCCACAGTAGATTCTGTGAAGCGCTTTGAGATTTCGCAAAAATGTGACAAGGCGCTATATCAAATGCAAGGATTATTATTATTATTAACATTAACTGTCCTTCAAATTCAATTTAGAAGGAATAAAGGTCAACCCAGTTTGTAACTCACAATGTATTTTAAAGCATATGTTGTATAATGTTAACATTTACCTAGTTTTTTATGATGCAGTGTGATTTATATAAGAGTTAAAAGAATAATACTAATTTTCCATTGAATTTTCTATACTAATAAAGATAAAATGTCTGTCTGCTAATAACGCAATTACCAATTGACCTGGAGACATGAATTATACCTCATCAGAAAGGTCTTGCATGAGAGAGTGTCATGGGCATATTTTTTGAGGGGATCTATCGTTGATGAGCCATGAGCTAAACAAGCTCATCGCACATGTATGGCAGTTGGTCACTCAATCCATGACTGTTTACAACATGGTTGCAAGCGTAGCTGCAACAGGTACCTCTAGTTCTAAATATTAAAAAGAGGTGATCTCCACACCTACTGATGATCTTCTCAACCGTTCCTTCTTTATGTGAATTAGGTGTAAAAATGCTGGGTCAAAGGTAGTTTGCGAATATAGTAAACTCCTGATAAATCATGACTCCAATGGAAAAGGGCTCAGCGGCAAGGTATCTGGAGTGGCAAGTTAAGCATATGTATAAATACATAAATAAATATAGCCAGGATATTGACAGCTTAATGGGTTAAGTGGTAGCGACAAGTTAAGCCAGTGTTGAATTATCCGGAGTTTCCTGTAGATATTGTGTACATTTTCACCCTGGGAGCTTTAGGGAAAACTTAAGACAAAATCTCTTTACAGGCAGTTTTACAATGAAGCAAGCAACAACTGGAAACATTGGTAAGTAATGTGTACACAATTTTTTGATTCGCATACTTCGAAGTTGAATACTTTAATACTGATTCAGTTACACAAACATAATACAACTGTAACAAGGAATTTTAAAGATTTTATAACATCTATTATACATTAAGTAGAATTAATTTCATGCCGTTAATACTGTTAACACTGCCTATATTATTAGAGTACTGGAACAAACTGCACTCAATCTATGTTGAGAATAAAGACTCACTAATAATGTTTAGTAATTTCCAAAAAAATGAGCAACAGTCAATAATCAGCTCTTTCTAGCATTAGCATTTGTAGAACTCCATGAGTTGATGTACAGTGAACTCCAGAAACTTGATGTGAGCATGCATGCACCAACACACACTGCACCTGTGCAGAGTGAGCAGCTGTCAGTGTGATGGAGTGGCCCCAGCCCCTGTGACTGTCAGTTTATTTGTTAAAACCTAAGCTCCCAGTTCCCTTGGTACCGCTCTCTTGCTCGCTCAGCCAGCACCAGCTCGACACAGGCACCGCTTCTGAGCATGTGTGCTTATAGGATGAGTTATCTGATCAATTTTACATTAAAAATACAGTAATCTACTGATAACTCAACATTGACTTAATTTATCACTACCACTTAAGTCATCATGCTTTCAATATCCCAGCCCCATTTATTTATGGCTGTATACATATTGCCCAACTCGCCACTCCGGATAACTCGTCACTGAGTTCTTTTCCCTTGGAGTGACAAATTATCAGGAATTTACTGTATTTACAAGAATTTCTGGAAACCGTTGAGTTACATGGTAAGCAGAGTAACAGGTAAATAGATGTTTCTTATTAATATTTTGCATGGGAAGTAGCTGGGATATTGACGGCATGACGGCTTAAGTGATAGTGACGAATTAAGCGAGGATCCAATTATACGGAGTTGACTGTTACATAAAATGTATTTTGTCACTTCAGTTTCCATTGTTTATAATAATAAGTTGATCTTTTCACAGGTACTGTGTATTTTTTCTTGATGTATTATTAATGTGTGCAGTTACATAAAAAATTATTGGAACTGTAACATCCTTTTTACTTTTATTCAACTTCACTCTACGAATTCTGAAACATCAGGTTCCACCCCTGACGATCTCATTTTTTTCTCAATCCTTGTCACTCTTTCTTTTATCTTCTGCTGTGTAGCATCATACTCTGCCAGGAGTCTTGCAAATTTAGTTTGCAAATTGTCTATTGCGCCATCCATTCTGAATACTTTCTCCTCCAAGTCCTTAGGGTCAGCGCCAAGTTTGGCAATGTCTAGATCAAGGAGACCATCCTTCAGTAGAATTTGTTTTCCTTTTTCCTCAAGCATTGCTTTTGCATCGGGGTATTCAGTCAGGGCTTCCATGAGATCATCCTTGGAGAGACAAAACAAATCCGAGTAGCCTATGCTCTTAATGTTTGCAGTTCTTCTGTTCCCAGCTTTACTGCCTTTGATATTCAGAATACTAATTTCACCAAAGTAGCTGCCATCACTCAGGACCACAAATTGTGTAATTCCATCATCAGCAACAACAGCAAGTTTTCCTTCTTTGATGATGTACATTTCTCTACCAATGTCTCCTTTGCGGCAGATATAATCTCCAGGGCTGTACACTTGGGGCCTTAGCTTCAACACCAACTCTATCAGCAGACCAGCTTCACAATCTGCAAAGATACGGACTTTCTTCAGTGTATCCAGATGGACATTGATGGCAATCTCTGCTCTGAGCTTGTCAGGAAGATACTTCAAAACTTCTCTTTCATCTACAGCTTTTTTGTTTGTCCACAGGTAGTCAAACCACTTGATAACTCTTTTCTCCAAATCCTTGCTCACTTTTCGGAAGTGCATGTACTGTTTGATAGCATCGATCCTTGACTGAAACTCTGCACGAGCTGCATTCATGTTAGAAATCATGGAGCCAACATTACCGACAATGGTGGCAAAAATCAACACTCCAATCAAGAAATCAGCGACCACAAAGATGTATTCAGAATCCTGGACAGGAGGAGGTGTTTCTCCAATGGTGGTTAATGTCAGCGTTGACCAATAGAGGCTGTAAACATACTTTCTAGCAAGCCGAGAAAATTCTGGAAGAGAGATATTTGGATACACCCATGTGTCTGCTCCAAAACCTATTACTTTGGAAATTGAAAAATACACACAAGCATTCCAGTGGATAATGATGCATATGTACATGACAAGGTTGGAGATCCTGAACATGTTTGGATAGTTTGTCCGCGTTTCTGTTCTTGAAAAGAACTCAAACAATCGATTAATCCGCAACAACTTGTTTAATCTAATCTCTGGATAACTCATTCCAACGATTAGGTATAGGACATCAGTTGGTATCATTGATACAACATCTAGTTTGAATTGCAATGTCTTCAAGTATCTTTCTCTGAGTTTCTTTTCATCGGTAATCAATAGTCCTTGTTCCAGATAACCTGCAGAGGACAGAGTAAAACACTGAAATACAGAGATCAAAAATAATTCAATACCTGATATGTTTTTAAAAGACTCTCAAATTGGCATTTCAAACATTCATCACTCTTAATTCTAAGAATAGCCAAGCGTCAAGATATTTTTGACAATGCATTTGTTTGTGTACTATGAATGGCAAAACCAGTTTGATTTTTTTTATTAGTACTACAAGCTGGCAAAGGTACATCACTGACACCATTCAATACTTCTGGGAAAAAATATTTCCCATATGAAGAGGAAGAAATATTAGATAGCTATTTTGCTATCTAATATTAATGAAGACGTAATAATCTAATGAAGAACAACAACTTGCATTTATATAGCCCCCTTCATGCAGGGGATCAACTCAGAGCGTGTAACAGTGGCAGAGTTTGATGCTAAGACAGGAGAAGGGGGAGGTGATTGTAGGCACAGTCGAAGAGGAAGTTCTTTAGGTGTGATCTGAAGATGGGCAAGGAGGATGTAAGGTGGAGGGATTGAAGCACAGAGTTCCATAGTTTGGGGAGTGGTGACTGAAAGCACGGCCGCTGATGGTAGAGTGGAGGAGAAGAGGAACGTGCAGGAGTCTGTCAGCAATCCAGAATTCTGGATTGCTTGAGTTGACCAAAGGGTTGACCAAAGAAAGGTTCATGGACCTGTTTTCTTCAGAAAAACTGCTGCTGTGAACCATGAAAGCACATTTACAGAACACAAAGTTTCAACATCATCGTTGATAAAACATTGTTGTTGGCTACAAAATGGATTTTCTCAGACATTTTCAGACTTTTCTGACTTGTTCAATACAAACTGCTGGAATCTTGATAAAGGCGAGGAGATCTTGACAATTATTGGATATTGCTAACCAGAGGATACGATTGACAAGAAGATGCTTTTGTGGAGCTGATGGCCAGATGTCTTTGTAAGGTCGATGTGTAAAGGAACGGAACTGAGTTTAAAAATTTGTGGAGCTGAATTTTGCAAATGGAATACCTAACAGTAAATAATATCAAAAAAGAGTGATATACTACAATCAACATGGATTAACAAGACGATTCCTCATCAAAGCCACTTTATTTGGTCTGATCAATTCATTGTGGAGTCCTGTAGCTCAGTGGTTAGAGCACTCGCTTTGCAAGTGAGAGACCTGAGTTCAATTCCAGGCAGGGCGAAACCTTGGGCAAGTTTCCTTACTCCACACGCCTAATAATAATCCCTCCAAAACTAAAAACAATAATTAAATTGGTCATTTTCAATCTACGACTGTTTGTGGGACATTGCTGTGCGTAATTGGCTGCCGCGTTCGCCCACAAATATGCAGTCAATTCACTTTACAGTGTGTTCTGTGAAGCGCTTTGGGACGTCCTCCCGACGTGAAAAGCGCTATATCAAATGCAAGGATTATTGCAGTGAACTTTACTAACCTGTCGTAAGCATTAATTTGATTTGATGAAACGTATAACTTTGAAATGCATTGCGAATTTGTGTTAATAAATGTCAATTGATTAAAGAATTTGTGCCGGTCCTTACTTCACCGGAGGGTAACAAATTGACTTTGTGGGAGAAACACAGCAGCCAATTGCGGACAGCAGTGTCCCACAAACAGTCATGGATTGAGTGACCAAATAATAATAATTTTTTTTTGGAGGAATTATTACTCCTGGAAAGGTTCCTACTTACTGCTAGGTAAACAGAGGTGTGAGGAGTAAAGAAACTTGCCAAAAGGTTCATCCTGCCCGGGAATGTTATTATTTAAAAATGTTTAGAATTGACCAAATGGATCAAAGGTCTTTATATTCTTGTACTTTCTTTTGTTCCTATTTGTGAAAGAAAACATTTTATTTTATACAAACTGGGAGCTAATACTAGTGGGGAATGGACCACTAATTTATGTTGATAATGATAATAATAATAATAATCCTTGCATTTGATATAGCACCTTATCACATCTTCGAGTGAAAGCTCTTCACAGAATATACTGTAAAGTTAATTGACTGTATATTTTGTGGGCAAAATGCGGCAGCCAATTGTGCACAGCAGTGTACCACAAACAGTCGTGGATTGAAGTGTCAAATTTTTTTTTTTGAAGGAATTATTACCCCCGGAAAAGCAATTCACCAATCGAGTAACAACCGGGTTCCTACTTACTGCTAAGTAAACAGAGGCGTGTGGAGTAAGGAAACCTGCCTAACATTTCACCCTGCCGGGAATCAAACCTTGCAATCCTCTCTCTTGCGCGGTGAGTGGTCTAAGCACTAAGCTACAGGACTCCGCATACTAAATAATTTCAAGCACTAAATGTTTCATTCTTTAATAAATTTAAGTATGTGTAGGCTAATCAGTCTAGTTCATTTGGATAAAACTTTTATTTGTGAGAATAAAGGTTAATATATTAGGTTACAGGTTCAGACAAAAAATATTATTCATTAGGAATAATATAAACTTATGCCAATCCCCTTGCACAAAATAACAAAAAGTCACACTCACCTGTTCGTGTCCTTAAAAACATATCAAGAATGTAAATAACGTCCGATACATAATCAAATGCAAACCAATATGTCAGGTAATCTTCCTGCAATTCTTCAAAGCAGGCTCTAAATAGTAGGTGGAAAACAAAAGTAAATACCAAAGTAAATCCTGAGTACCACAAAACCACTTCTTTCTAAGTTTGTAACAGTTTAATAATTTCTCAAAAGTACAACAGACATCAAACCCCTCCAATCTCCTTACTTCAACAAAGTACCAGTATATACATAGGGATTAGGGTGATTTGTTTGTAGGTACCTCTTTTGGTTTTATGGCATTTAACTACTTGGTATTTCAAATCTTGACAGTTGTAGAGGGAATAAGGTTACTTTTTCTTTACACTATTGTGCTATTGAGGTATTCTGAATCACTCTTACTATGTTGCTTTTCCTACAAAAGCTTCACTTATTCTTTCTGCCAGTTGTGCATAAGATTAAGGTAATTTAACAACACATCTATTTATGTACGTAAAAAGATTTGTGGATTATGTTGCTCTGTTTCTTCAATTTCATTTCCCTCTTGATAGAGTCCCAGTATTATACATCATTTCCAGCCAAGAAAAGAGATAATCAATCTGCACCCAGAGTACCACACTACCAATAACTTTCTATGAGCAACTACTACAAATTGCACAAAAGTAGCCTGGGGAAGCTCCTGCTGGTAGTCCCCCATTTCCTGCATGACAGATATTAATATTATAATAATAACGCTTGCATTTGAGACATCTCAAAGCACTTCACAGAACAACAACAACTTGCATTTATATAGCGCCTCTAGCAAAGGGTAGAGTCCCAGAGTGCTTGACAGTAGCAGAGCACAACACTGAGCCGGGGGAGGGGGAAAGGAGGGAGGTGACTGTAGGCACGGTCGATGAGGAAGGTCTTCAGGCACGATCTGAAGATGGGGAAGGAAGGGACAAGATGGAGGAAGAGAAGGAGAGTGTTTCAGAGTTTTGGGGTGTAATGGCTGAAAGTGCAGCCACCAATGGTGAAACAGAGGGCACGAGGGACATGCAGGAGGCCGGAGCCAATTGAGCGGAGGCAGCGGGTTGTCGGTTGGAGGGCAAGCAAGTCAGAGAGGTAGGGAGGTGCCAGGGCATGAACGGATTTGAAAATGAGTGTGAGGATCTTGAAAACCATCTGTTTGGCGATAGGGAGCCAGTGGAGCCTGGCTAGAATTAGTGTAATGAGGGTACAGAATATATTGTAAAGTGGATTGACTGTATATTTTGTAGGCGAAGCACCCATAAAATCACAGTATTTCACGCTGACTTTCACGTAACTGACCACTTGGGGGATAGCAGGCATTATCCTATATCCAAAAATCCTGTGACATAGCTACCTGGGGATCCTGTTCACTGTGTTTGAGATTGGTAACTCGATAAAATGGACAATAAAAAGTACAGGAGCTACAGTCTTATGGGGCAGTGAGTTGCCATCACAATGCATTGTGCCACCATGTCACTTAATTTCATATCCTGATATTTAAACATTTGTTTAGTGTTGTCCTACCTAGCTATAATCATGGTCCAGTTGTACATCACAGGCATTGTGATTACGAAGAGCCAGTTGTAGTACATGTTTCCCGCTGGGTCCAAGATGAATGCTTTCTTCTCCCTGAGTGTAAAATACATGTAATAGAATGTAAATAAACCAATTGGAGATTTATAATACTACATAATAATCCTTGCATTTGATATGGTGCTTTATCCTGTCATTGAGATGACTCAAAGCACTTAATAATAATAATAATAATAATCCTTGCATTTGATATAGCGCTTTTCACGTCGGGAGGACGTCCCAAAGCGCTTCACAGAACACACTGTAAAGTGAATTAACTGTATATTTGTGGGCAAACGCGGCAGCCAATTGCGCACAGCAATGTCCCACAAACACTTCACAGGGTTTTACTGTACTGTATGGGATTCATACCACAAAATGAATGTTGCACTGAATTTGGATCATTGAATTCTAAGGTGAATTGAAGACTGTTCTGTTTTACAGAAACAGGGATAGACTGGACAAGTTACATAACATTACACTGGTTCAATTATGTTACCTTTAACAGAAATAGGATTCCCAATTTACCTTGAAGTCTACAGATCAGTTTACAATATTTAGAAAGAGGATGAATTTATTATGAATTTGGTGGGAGAGAAAATATGTTAGTTACAGGTTAGGATATTCGATGTAGGTTGGCATTGCATTTGATATTGAACCTTACCACACAGAAACATTTCAAAGCACTTCATGGCTTTCTGTAAAGTGTAATGACTGTTTATTTGTAAGTGAATGTGAATGCTGGAAATTAATTTGTGAATAGCTGAAGTTGTTAAACCTAGGATTGTCCTAGACAAAGGTCAAATAATAATAATAATAATCCTTGCATTTGATATAGCACTTTTCACGTCTTCTAGACGTCCCAAAGCGCTTCACAGAATATACAGTAAAGTGAATTGACTGTATATTTGTGGGCGAACGTGGCAGCCAATTGCGCACGGCAGTCATTTGCCCACAAACAGTCGTGGATTGAAACTGACCAATTTATTATTGTTCTGTTTTTTGGAGGGATTATTATTAGGCTCTGTGTGGAGTAAGGAAACTTGCCCAAGGTTTCGCCCTGACCTGCCTGGAATTGAACTCAGGTCTCTCACTTGCAAAGTGAGTGCTCTAACCACTGAGCTACAGGACTCTGTGTATGTCTTAAACTGATGCCTTATTCACGAATGTGCAACACACATTCTAGTACCCCAAGTATGTCACACCAACCTGCAGGAACACTGCTCCCAAGTGATCTACTCCCAGACTGGAGCGTTTGCAGGTTGAAGGGAATTCTAAGTAGAACCAAAAGCTTTTAACCATCCAGGAATTTGTTTAAGAAATCCCGCAAACTATTTCTCCTAGGGATCATCATTTCTAAACTGTGTACTGCTAGTTAAGTGTACTTACTTCTCATCTTTCTTATCATCCTTTTTCTTGTCCTTTTTCTCGTCCTTTTTCTCGTCCTTTTTCTCGTCTTCTTTCTTTTTCTGCTTCCCTTTGTCCTTTTCTTTATTCTTATCTTTTTTCTTTTCTTTATCTTTCTTTTCACCTTTCTTGCCATCAGATTTGCTGCAAAATGGATTGAAGTGGAAAATGATGTATGTTAATGACAGGCTCTTGTGTTGTTGTATATGGGAGAAATTTTCATTTTCCAATTATTCAAAATTCACCCTTTTTTTTCTTTTTTATTCTTTTTGGATTCTTTCTTCTTTTCTTGCTCCCTGAAAAAGTAAGATAATTGTTTTGTTTTAAACAATAGCCCACAAAACAAACTTAACATTCCACGAATATAGCACAAATTGGAATATTTCACAAAATCCTACAACATTTCAACTTCAGTGGGTTTGATTTTTTAAAAAAAATCCACCTTTTTAAGTACTGTATAATAATAATGTCAGAAAAATAACTGCTTATCCCAAAATCTTTAAGAATGTGTAATAGCGAAATAAAAGTTAGAATTACTTTATTCTACGTGAAATCTGAAGCTTTACAAATCAAGTGTGATACTTACTCATCATTGTTATTGCTGTTGTTAATATTTCTAATGTCATCAGGAAAAGGCTGGTCCCTAAGAAACAGTAAAATGTAAGAAAATATTAGATGGTTCATTTTCAGTAAGCTTTATTAAATGTACCTTGTGTGTTTTTCTCTTTTAACGTACGCAGATTTGTGTGCATGATGGCAATCGAAAGGTGCTCATCAAAGGATGAAACCCCTTACGGTCTTAATGCCATTGTCTTAAAATTTAAGATCATGCAGAATTTTGAAAATAATCTTAAAATGTCACTCATTGTTTTTGTTGGTAGCTTTTTTCCACAGTTCCATTTACGAACTGCAGAAAATCAGCTTTGAAATCAAAAAAGTTTAAAATTTTCCAATATCCTGCGTAATCTTAAAACAATGGTGTGAAACCCCAAACCATTAGAAATGTCAGGCCTAAGGCTAGCAGCTCCACTACTGTTTAATCCATTTAAATATTTTAATAATGTAAATGCCACCTTCCCACAGCAGAGGACACTTTTTTGGTTAAGAATGCCTTTGCTGTACAGTTTTGACTCATCTCCTGTGTCATTTATGGCAAAGCAAAGCAATAAATGACAGAGCAGCTGAGTCAAAATTGTACTCCAAAGGCAAACCAGGCCGCTTTGGAATAAATTAGCGTGACCTAAATAGCAAAGAAAACATACTTGTGTGGCAACCATTCCATTACTCCGATAGAATTTTCTGTAGAGTAAATCATATTGTACTGGACAAGAGAATTACTTACGCAAACCCTAAGTAAATTTGGTAAAACAAACATCAAATTTCCTACTTCCTGAGTTCTCAATCTCAGCAAAAGCTGATGACAGCAGTGCCAGACAGAAGTGAGTCAATTCAATGGAGGTATAAACTATCAAAAGGAAAAGCCTCCGTATACTGTCCCACTTGCTGGTTACTGGTGGGAGGAACAACTGGCCACAAAACAATCTCACAAATGAAAAATAAATTAAAGAAAAACAAAGCAACCCAACAAGGTGTATTATCTGCAATGTTAAAGTATAACATTTACAAATGCAGCATAGCATCGTCTAGGCCTAAGATGGACTTCTCTCAAAGCACTGGACTGCTGGCTAACAGGAAGCTGCTTTCCTCTGATCTTTTTGTTTAGTTACATCAGTATCCTACTAGCCAATACTTAGTGCCTGAGCCACAAGATGGAAGTCAAATACCATGACAAGACTGGCATGGCAAGGCTGGCATCAAGAAAGGCTAATGGAGTGGGACGCAACTTTAGAACACTTGGCTATTATTGATGTGTTAAATATTAAAAAATAAAGTAACTGCTAGGGTTAAAACATGCAAATATGTAATTACAAGTTGTCAAAATTTATGCCACTGCTGGTCTAGATTTACTCTATTTGTGTTACATTTTAGAGCATCCAGAGTTAGTAATTTGTTGAATTCAGTCTCAGCTTTTGAGTCTGTTTTCTGTGTTTCTTTAAAGAATTTACAGAAAATCAACGCCATAAAAAGGACTGTAATTATGAATTTCCCAAATTCTAGGCACTCTGAAATGCTACATAAATAGAGTACTTCCTTGGAGGGGGTGGGTAAGTGGGTTCTCCTTAGAGCTGACGTGGCTCTATGGGCACATGCTTGGCTACAGAATATCAGAATTGAGCTAACCAGCTTGGTTTTAACTGGTTAGACTCCAGTAGTACCCCAGCGCACACTCAGGTCCCTAAGCATTGGCTCTTGCCAACCTGCACCTAATACTCTCCAGAATTAGTTAAGCAGGATGCATCATTCCAGGGGGCAATGCGCATACCTTTTCTAGACACAAGAACTTCCATGTGTCGGTGGGATGCATGGAACTCTCAGTTTAGTTTGGATACTCTTAAGCATGGTGATGGGTTTCTGCACGTATCAAACACCCGGTTGACCAAGGAAATTGAGTAAATCTAGATCGGGTGGAATTTCTTCCTCTGTATGTTGTGATTTATTATTGAATCCAGTAAAATCTGTCATTCTGAAGTGGTTCTGTCATACCTTCTTTCTCCATTCTCCATCTGTCCCATCTCATCATCTACTGTTTGTATTACCAGCCGGGGAATGGGTAGTTGGGTCCAATGAGTATTAATGACAGCTGCCATTTTAGTGTTTATATGGATTCCCAGGCCTGAAAAGAAAGAGAATTACAACAAAGAATGTTTTACATCTTTAAATAAAATTAGTTTTTTTTAGAGAGAGCAATTTATATATTTATATAAATAATAAATATTATTTAGTAATTGTCTGTATATGGAACAGAATTAATTTTACATTTGGGCTTCAGTTTTTCCAATGCCCAACATGCACATTTCTTCAACTGCACCTGCCACAAACTCCAGATCTCTGCAGCTAGTATCCTCTCCCACACTCCAAGAGCCCATCACCCAATCCATGCCCAATTCCACTGGCTCTCTCTCTCTCAACAGATCAATACCCTTGTCCTCACCTTCAAATGTCTCCACAGTCTTGTCTCACCATATCTCTGAGACATTCTACGATCCTTCTCCTCTGATCACTCTCTCTACTCTGCCAACTCCAGCCTGCTTCATGACTTCCATCCAACCCTCAATTGCTGAATTTTCAACAGCTTTGCCATGTCATCAGGAGCTCTTTTCCCAAAACCCTCCATCTTGCTCCTCCCATCTCCCTCCCCCCAGCTCCATGCCATCATGGGCTCAATCTTTCCAAAGCGCTTGTAGAACTTCCCCTAATGTGAAAGGTGCTATTTAAATGTAAATCTAAATTGTTGTTCTTGCTCATTTGGACTACTTGTTAATCTCCCAAAAATGTTTGCAGCCCAAGTCATGGTCTTAATCAATAGCTATAAAAGGTCACCATGAAGGGTGGTATAATAATAATATAATAGTAACCCTTACTTTTAGTATAGTGCCTTTCACATCAGAAGACATCTCAAAGTGCTTCACAGAATATACCGTAAAGTATAATGCATATTTATTTTGTAGGTGAACCTGGCAGTCAATGTATGTATAGCAATGTCTCAAAAACAGCCATATAATTTATTTTGGGGATTGTTGGCCATGACACCAAGAAGGAATCCTTTCTTTTGAATCATGCCATGGGATCTATAATGTCCACCTGAACAACCAGACAACCTTGGTTTAATGTCTGATCCAAAGTTCGGCACCTCCAGCAATGCAGCAACTCCCTACACTGGATTGGAGCTTAGACTATATGAGTTTCAAGTCCCAACATGGGGCTTGAATCCACAATCTTCTGACTCAGACACAAGATAGCTACCAACTGAGCCAGGATGACACACAGGAAGCCTGGGTACTAGCTCATTTAAGAACGGTATTTGTGCTCTAATAGGAAGACAGCTGGATAGGTATTTTGGAAGGATTGGATGAAGGGCTTTCTTCATCTGTATCTTTCTTGTGATCATGTGAGTAGATTTAATAAGTGTTGCATACCTAGAACCGATAATATTTCACATTTTACTTTATTATACTTTTACCCTGCAGAGAATGCAGAAAACATTTGCTGTCAAGACAATGATTCCTACATATAAATACAAATAACAAGCCAGCCTGCCAACATTAGTTGGTCTAATGGTTTGGTAGCCTCAGGTTATGGAGTTGCTGTGAATTTCAATGCCAAGCTCCAATGGACATTATCAGTAACCACCACTTAACAAACCAAAATCAGGACTCTAAACGTTTGGGGTGACTAGAGGTTTTATGATATGCAGAAACAGAATACACTGTGTTGTTGTATAGCGCCTTTCACGTCAGGAGGACGTCTCAAGGTGCTGGACAATCAGGGATTGGACCCGAGTTGGGGGTTGGGATAAGGAGGGGTGGAGGGCAGGAAAGGTAGGGTTGGAGGAAGGCTGAAGGCGTGGTTAAAGAGGAAGGGCTTGAGGCCTGCCTTGAAGGAGGCAAGGGAGGGAGCAAGCCGAAGGGACTGAGGGTTGGAATTCCAAAAGGTGGGGGCAGAGAGGTTGAAGGCCTGAACGCTGATGGTGGAGTGGGCCTCTCGGGGGATGTGGAGCAGGCCGGAGCCTGCTGAGCGGAGGAACGGACAGAAGCACACACTGTTTTGCTAATATATAGAGTCACTCTTATCCATATTCCGAGAAACTACAAAAGCAAATGGTTCTGATGGTATGTACCACAAGAGCAAATCTTGAGTAACTTTATGCAATTACTGGAATTCCAGGATTCTGTTACAGAACTGATCTTCTTAATATCTGCTGTATGAGCTCATGTCTAGGCTGACACTCCAATGCAATGCTGAGGGAACGCCACCTTGTTGGAGGTGCCATCCTTTGGGTGAGACATTAAAGATAGGTGTCAAAGATCTAATATTACTACTCAAAGGTCGTCCATAATAATAATTCTTGCATTTGAAATAACACCTGTCATGTCAGGAGGATGCCATGAGGGGCTTCACAGGATATATTGTAAAGCATGATTGTTTATTTGCAGGCAAGCATTGCTGTGAAATGAGTAACCATGAAGTGATTATTGGGCAGGAACCCTATAGCAAAGCCCTAATCTTTTTAAATAGAGCCATGGGATCTTTAACGTCCATCTGTTCAGGTGGGACGTCGGTTTAACAATATGTGGCCTGCTGTTTCTGCTAGAACCTCTCCACCTGTTAGAGTGACTAGACTGCTCTACCAAGTGGTCCTGCTCTTGTGGTCTATGATGCCATCACTTTCTGCCTTGCTTGCCAACAAACCCCAGATAAAATTGGTTGTTCACTTCATGGATATTTGTGGACTTTTGCTGTGCACAAATTAGCTGCTGCATTTCTTTACAGTCACTACCCTCAACAGTAAAATCCTGTGAAGCACTTTGAGACAATTCGGCAAAGTGATTAGGCACTATATCAAATCCAAACTATTATTATTATAGTTTAAATCACTCTGTAGAGGTAGTTCCTAAGTGTTTTTCGGTGATGGGTCAGCCAAACCAGTAACACTATCACGTAATATTTGAATGGACGTTACTTTTCTTGTTTGATCTTCCTAAAATAACTACATTTTGCAGAAGGTTCATATTTTGTTCACTCGCTATTTTGTCAAGTCATTTCTGAATAGTCTTATCAACAATCTCAGTTGAATTGATGATTATAGGAACCATGTTTGTTTCCTACTGCTACACACACATTGTAGTTCAATATATTTCCTGATCTTCTCTAGTTCCTTGTTTCTTACGTTGTAATCCATTGGTATAACCACATCAATAATATTACATGTACAATATATTTATTTTTTTAATGATAGTATCTGGTTTCTTACAGATTACTGTTCTATCTGTATGTACTTGTGAATCTCAGATTATTGTGATGTTATTTTTCAGTGTTACTTTTGCTGGTTGATGTTCATACCAGTTGGTCTTTAAATCAATATCAAAGTGTTTAAAATTGTAGAGTGGATATGAAACTGGCTAAGTATTTGAAGAGAAAGAATATAAAAAATAGGGGGAGAAAAAATCAGGGAATTGGGAACAGAATAGTTAGCTCCAGCGAAGAAGCCAGCACAGGCTCAACTAGAGAACATTTTCTGTTATGTGAAATGTTATATGAATTTAAATGAGTGTATTGTTGTTGGTCTTCCAAATTTGGAATTAGAGGAGCTCCAATGGATTCAGAATCAATGGACCGAACACCTTCATCCTATGCTATCTATAAATTTCCACAATTCCTGAACTGCCTGAGATTTACCGTCAATTTATTTATGTTGGCTGAAGCCGATTTAATTTTTGCCATATAATCATTCTCAACTATCCATTGTTCTCTACATACAAGGCAACGCCAGGAGAGTGCTTCCTAGTTGAGTGTGGGTTCACTTATAGCATGGTGCACTGTGGGCTCAAACCATACCAGAATTGTGGTACACTTGCTTCGAGTGATGACTGGTTGGCATCCTGTATTTAAAATGGCCACTATCTGGGCTGTCAATTCATCTCTGGTCTCAATTCACTTTACAGTATATTCTTTGAAGCGCTTTGAGTCATCACAAAGACATGATGAGGCACTATATCATATGCAAGGATTATTATTAATGGATTACTCAAACACGCTCCTCGCCAGGCTCCCCCTCTCCACTTTTCAAAAATTCCATCTCATTCAGAATTGTGCTGCCCACATACTTACCCGGACCAAACTCCGTACCCACATCTCACCAGAACTGGGCAGGCTCCACTGGCTCCTCATCACCGAAAGAATCAACTTCAAGATTCTCACTCTCGTGTTCAAATCCATTCACTCCCTGGAACCTCCCTCCCTCTCCGACCTCCTCACTCCCCAATCCATCACCTGGAACCTCCGCTCAACTGGCACCACTCAACACTACCCTGTGTAGAGCGCGCTATATAAGTGCAAGTTGTTGTATTAAGAGAATTATTGTTTCAGATTTTAGCAATTTGTGCCACAGTCTACATTTATTAATACAAGATATCATAAGAAATAGATTGGTGCAGATGGAGTGTTAATTTAAGACTTTTTTATTACCAAATTGTTTGCTATCAGTTTTGGCCCACATTCATGTTAATTATTTTATCGACTGTTCACTTGAGTTATAGAATGTTGTATTTGGGGATTTGAAGAATGTTTTCTAGATTAAAAATGAGAAAGAGACCAATTGAATGCAAAGTAAGTCCAGGTGATACATAATCTTTCAGATCACTAATGTTAGTTGTGATATCGAGATTTGCCAAACTGATGCACTTAATAACAAAGTTGAGTGTTTTACATGAATACTGTACTGAAAAATCCAAAACGACACACATGGTCGATTAAAATTAACTGAATGGGGTCAGCCCAGGAGAATAACGATATAGTAAGAACAACAATTTGTGTTTATATAGTGCCCTTCACACCAGACAGCATTCCAGAGCGCTCATAACAACCACTCACATTCTAACGCACCTTTCACTCATAAAAAAGCACTTGACAAATATTGAGCTGGCCATTGAGCAGGGAGTCAAAAAAGGCCCAGTCAAAGAGATATGTTATTGGGAGGTTGTTGAAACTAGGGAGAGGTACCACAGTAAGATACCATAGTAAAATCCTTTCAACTAAAGGTCATCGACCTGAAACGTTAACTGATTTTCCTCTCTCAATAGATGCTGCATGTTCTGTTTTTGTTTTCTTT